CTCTCTGTTTAAGGTTCTGCCCCCAGGCTCATACAGACAGGACGCCTGGGCAATGTCTGATGAGGAGAAGTTGGCTGCTGTTCCTATTATACATGAGGAAGGGAATGAACTTTTCCGCCAGGGCCAGATCACAGCTGCTGTAGAGAAATACCACAATGCCATCGCCTGCCTGAAGAACCTGCAGATGAAGGTTATCATGATGTAATTAACAGATCTGTGAAGAGAAAACCCCTCACCCAGAGCTGCTTCATACAGAGCCTTCTGATGAAAAACCCCTTCTCTCAGAGCCCCCTCACTCAGACTCCCCTGACACAGACTCCCCTGACACAGACCCCCTGACACAGACCCCCTCACACGGAGCCCCCTGACTCAGAGCCCCCTGACACGGAGCATGTTTGTCTAATTCCAGAATATTTGTCACAGTGCAGTACAAAGCCTCTGTCTCTATTTCTCCCTGCTGGCAGTGGGAGCACAGCCTGCCTGTGTCGCCCAGTTTCTATGTCCAGGCCGTGGTCACTGAGCCTGTACTTCGTCAGCCTCTGTTTCTCCTTGCTGTTAATTCTCCTGGTCAGATGTTAAGATAGTGTGTGTTGTGTGTTTGGTGTTCTGTAGCATCCCAGTTGGTGTCGTGTTTGTGTGTGTCCCAGTGGGTGAAGTAGTGTTTGTGTTGTGATTTGTCGCTGTGCTGTCCTGCGGCTGGCTGGTGGCAGTGAGCCTCAGGACCAGCTGCCTCTGAGGGCTCTTCGTTGGGATCAGCTCTTGACTCAGCGGGACTCTTGCGGTGATAGGAATTCTGGTCACTATTTTTCAGGTGTAACCAGTATTTGAATACTCTCTTCTGCATGTTTCTTAGAAATGTTTATTGGCTTCATTCGGCCCTGTACGGGCTGTTTGAGGTTTGTCTCTGCACATGGAGGATGTTTCTACATTTGTCTCATTTAGTGTAACCCAGCTCTACAAGCAGACCATCACTTCACTGCCGTATAGGGCAATGGGTTTGATCACACTTTCAAATAATCACAACCAAATTTGAATGGGGGTGGTTGATGTTGTAGAGCCTACTTCTAGTGGCATAGATGGCCAGTGTGTCTCC